AATCATATTTCATAAAAACATGAAAAATGTGTTGTAAAAAATGAGATAATTTCAGAGAAAACTGGGAAGACTTAAACGAACAGAATGAAGTGAGAGAAACCAGAAGAAGAGTTTTATAACATTATAAAAACAAAAAAATTTGAAAGATCTAAGACCTTTGATCAAAGCAAAGATCAACTATGATTCTAGAAAAGTGATTATAAAGAATGAAACTCACCCTCTGACAGAAAAGTGAGGAACTAAATAAGATGAATGAAAGACACATTTCTGACACAGCCAATATGGGGAATTTGTTTTACTTGACTGTGTGTATTTGTTACAAGAGTTTTGGGGGTTTTTTAAGTGGTTTTTTTTTTTTATCCCAAATGGGAGCAGAAGGTGACAGAAAGGAAAAATTAATTCTTGATAATTTAAAAGAAATTAAAAAAAGAAATCATGAAAAAAAAAATTCCACAGGCAAAGTATAAGCATTGAAAGAATCTACCCACTTACCCAAAATGAAGACATCTAGAAACATAACAGTCAAAACCCTGAGCTTTCAGGTCAACAAAAAAATTCTGAAAGCAGTCAGAAAAAAACAACTCAAGCATGATGAAATCACAGGCAGAATCACACAAGGTTTAGCTGCTACCATTCACTATACAGGAGCTGGGAGCTTGGAAAACTGTATTTCAAAAGACAAAAGATAAAAGCCTTACAACAAAGAATAACTTACCCAGCAAAATTGATTATAATCCTATATGGGCAAAAAAAAAATCAGACTTTAATGAAAAAGAGGACTTTTCAAGCATTCTTAATGTATACAGCTTGCTGGATAAAAACTTTGAAATACACATAAATGGGAGTCAAAAGGAGGGACTTCATAAAGATGACATATTTACATCCTAATGGAGGAGGGGGAGGCAGTGATACAAGTATTCCCTTAGAATCCTATCATCAGGGGTCATAGAGGGAATCAAGATAGAGGGCCTTGGAGTACATTTGTTATGTTTTAATGATTTGAATATAAGAAAGAAAAAAAAGGGAGGGGGAAGATATATATTACATATTACATATTATGGAGAAAGACAGGTAGGTGAGCTTATTATCTCACATCATCCAATAATATAAGTAGAAGACTCTACAAAAAAAGAAGGAAGAGGTAGAGGACAAGTAGCACCTGAACTTCATTTTCATCAAAGAAGAGTAGAATATATTCAGAGAACTGGGCACAGAAATACATTTACGTTTTATTTGAAAATCAAAAAATAGATGAAGAAACTTGAAAGCAAAAAAACAGCTAAAACTTAAGAGCTTTTTTTTAAAGAAAGGACAATAACAGGCATGATATTAGCTAATTTGATTTTTTAAAAGAAACAAAAAGCAATTATCAAAAATGAAAATGGAAAATTCTTAACAAATGAAGTAGAAACTGAGAAATGTATTAAATAATTTTACCCAACTATATGCTAATAAAACCAATAAATTAAACAAATGGATACTTTAAAATATATAAAATGTCCATGTTAACAAAAGAAAGAGAATTTAAATAACCCAGTCTCAGAAAAAGAAACTGAATTAGCCATAAATGAACATTCAAAGAAAAAAATCCAAGATCTGATGTATTTACAAGTGAATTTTATCAAACATCGAAAAACAAGTAATTCAAATATTATATAAACTAAAAAAATAAGAAAAAGAACCCTTCCAATCTTATTCTATAAAACAAATACTATCTTGATACCTAAATTAGGAAAAGACAAAGCAGAGAAAGAAACTCTGGGCCATTATCACAAATGAACACTGATGCAAAAATTTTAAATAAAGTATATGCAAAGACTACAACATTAGGAAGATTATAAATTATGACCAATTGGATTTAAGCTAAGAATATAGGGCTTAGGATTAGGAAAATTTTACATATATTTAATCACATTAATAACAAGAACAAAAATCATGATTATATCAATAGACTAAGAAAAAATTTTTTGACAAACTATATAACCATTTCTGTAACAAAAAAAAAAAAAAAACACCAGAAAATATAGGAATGTATGGACCTTAAAATGGTAAATTTTATATATCTAAAACCAAGAGTCAGGATGGTACATAATGGGAATAAATTAGCACCCTATCCAATAAGCTCAGGGATTAAGCAAATATGTCCACTGTCACATGATGTCAGAAATGCTAGCGATAGCAGTAAGATAAGAAAAAGAAATAAGGAATAAGTAAAGGCTAAGAGTAACTGCTTTTTGCAGTGATGTGATTTACTTAGAGAAGCCTAGAAAATAAACTAAAATTTAACTGAAAACTGAAAACTAATAACTTTAGCAGGGCAGCTAGGTGGCGCAGCAGACAGAGCACTGGGCCTGGAGCCCAGAAAGACCAGAGTTCAAATTTGATCTCAGACACTCACCAGCTGTGTGACCCTAAACAAGTCATTTAATCCTGCCTGCATAAAAGAGAAGGAAATGGCAAACCACTCCAGAACCCCTGCCAAGAAAACCCCAGCAACAGTTGGTCCATTGGATCATGAAGAGTCAGACACAACTGAACAACAACAAATAACTTCTGCAAAGTTGCAGGATACAAAGTAAGTACACATAAATTATCAATCTTCCCCTTTATTACCAACAAAATATAGCAGGATGAAAGAGAAAGAGAAACTCTATTTAGAATACCTACAAAATTTATAAAATGCTACCATGACATACACACAGCAACCACATGAATACAATTACAAAATAATCTCTTACAGAAATCAAGTCCCATCGTTAAACCCATGAGTTGGAATTTGTAAAACTGTGAATTAGTCTAACCATTCTGGAAAGCAAATGATAATGCTACTTAATTAATTTACCTATTAAGTACAACACCAATCAAACTACCAGAGGATTACTTTATAGAACTCAAAAAAAAAAATCATCTTGGAGGAACAAAAGGTTAAGAATTTCAAGGGAAACAATGGAAAAAAAGTTCCTAGCAGTATCAGATCTCAAAATATAATACAAAGCAGTAACCATCAAAATGATTTGGCACCAGTTAAAAAATAAAGGTCAGTCAATAGAATATATTAGGTATACAACATACATGAGGAAATGAAACTTGTGGCCTAGGGTTCAATAAACCCAAAGACCACTATTGGGTAAAAACCACTGGGGAAACTGGAAAACATCTGGCAGAAATTGGATTCAGACCAACATCTCATACTATATATCAAGACAAGGTCCAAATGGGTACTTAAAAGGTCACATCATAAACAAATGAGAGGAACAATGAGGGAAATACCTTTTTGTAGCTATGGATAGGGGAAGAGTTCATAATCAAACAAGGAAGAGAGACTATCACACAAGGTAAAATGGGCAATTTTGATTACATAAGATTAAAAAAGTTTTACACAAACAAAACTAATGCACCCAAATTAAAAAGGAAATACCTGGGAAAAAATCTGCATAGCAAGTTTCTCTGGGAAAGGTCTCATTTCCCAGATTTACAAGGAAATGGTTCAAATTTATAAGAATATATAGTTTTTGTATTTTCTCAAAGGAAGAAATCCAAGCTATGAACAATGATATGAAAAAATGTCCTCAAAAGCACTAAAATTAAAGAAATATAAATTAAAGCCACTGTGAGGTTCTCACACTCACCAGATTGGTAAACATGAGATAAAAGAAAAATGGCAAATGTTTGGAGGAGCTACCAAAAAACAAGCGTATTACTGTGCTGTTGAAAGAGTTCTGAATTGGTCTAACCATTCTGGAAGGCAATCTGGAACTATGCTCCAAAAGCCACTAAACTATGCATAACTCTTTGAGCCAGCTATACTATTACTATGTTTATACTTCAAAGATGATAGAAAGAGGAAAAGTAATCATATGTACAAAATTTGATAGAATCTCTTTTTGTAGTGACAAAGAACTGGAAACTAAAGAGATGCCCATCAAGTGCAGACTGGTTGAATATTGTGGTATATAAATATAATGTAATACTTATATATAAAAAATGATAAAAGGAATGGTTTCAGAGAAACCTGGGAAGACTTAAGTGATGCAGAGTGAACGGAGTAGAACAAAAAGAACAATTTATATAATAATAACATTGTAAAGACAAACAATTTTGAAAGATTTAAGAACTCTAATCAATGCAGTGACCAGCCATGACTCCAGAGGACCAAGGATGAAAAATGCTACCCATCTCCTGACAGAGAAATGATAGACTTAAGATGCAAAATAAGATATATATTTTTGGACATGTTTGATCTGGTAATTTGTTTTGCTTGACTATGCATATTTGTTATGATAGTTTTTCTTTTCAATGGGGGATGAGAAAATATTAATTAGGAAAAAAATTTTAATTTTTAAAAAAGAAGCTGTTTACTACATAATAGGGTCATTTTCAAGTGCTCTCAACTAAAAAGTTTTCAGTTCTCATGTTTACAGCACACGTCACAAGCAACCAGTTGTATAAGAATTTAGTGAAACTAAAAGAGAAGTAATGAAGGGTTCTCATAACATTTATACAGCACCTTAAAATTTGCAAAACCCTTTTACAAGTACTATCTCATTTTATCCATGCAACAATCTAGGTTATATGTACTATAATTACCCTCATTTTTACAAATAAAGGAACTGTGCCAAAGAGTAGTTAAATAACAGGCCTAGCATTAATTTGATAAGTCTGAGGCCAGACTTGAACTCAGGGATTTTTAATTCCGTGTCTACAGCTTTACCCACTGCACCCACTAGCTATCTCCAAGAATATAATCTATCTTTCTATAGGTAGTCTGTCCACTATAAAGTCTCAGGTTATCAATGGCTGCAAATAAAATCTGCCTATCTCACTAGAGAAACCTATCTTTTATCCTGTTCCCTTCCATTTTAGCTTTGGATTTGCAGAAAATCAAATTGGATGAATAAAGGTAAAGGCACTCTTGTTGCTAATCTATTAGTACAAAAACTATAAATCAAAACAATCTTGAGCTAATGCTTCATTTTCTCTGCAACCAAATGTGGACTCACCTTGCTTGGCATCAGATTTTATCTCCTCTGGATGTATAACAGGCCGGTAGTATTTCTAAACATAAAATAAGAATTGATGAAAAAATGCCTCAATTTTATCTGGAAATGCATGCTTTCTTTAAAAATGAAAATGAGTTTCTTTGTGTCATTGTAAGCAAATATTGTATATTAACATCAGTATTTGCTGCAAAATATCAACACCAGTCATCTGCTAGAAGGGAGGAAAAGGAGAGACAAGTCATTCAACTAAGGCTAAATTCTGCCTTTTAGTATTGCCACCTAGTGTTCATATTAAGGAGCAGTACCACAGATAATGATTATCAGAAAAAGCAAAATAGCAAGAAAGCAAACATATACCACAAAGGTTTTGCATTTATTATAGCCATTCCCCAACTAATGAACAGGTTCAAGAGTTACAGCTGCATGGAATTTGGAACACTGTGGGCACAGACACAATGTTATAAATGGTCACTGAGTTTCCAACACAGATCACAAAAACCTACTTTAAACACGTAGGGTGACTATAACCTATATTCTGATTCTCATCGATCATCCAGTTGAAGGTGGGGGGGAGGGGAAGAAAGTAAGGGGGAGAAAGAGAAGTAGGAAGGAGGAAGAGGAGTTCCTTCCCTTCCCCCAAGGCCTAAGCAAAATTCTGAAATAGGAAAGATGGATCTTCTACATTGTCCCATCTTTATTTATTTACTTTTGTGTCTCTGTCCCACCTCCTGATAACTCTCCAGGTAGGCTTTAATGCCCTTATGCTGCCCCAAGGCTCTTAGTGCAGCATCCTACTCAAGCTTGCCAATCCCACAAATTTCCCATGGTCCCAAATTACTTCCTCTCTCAACCTCACACTAGGTGATCTCAACTAGGTATTAGGAAAAAAAAAAAAACAATGTAATTGAACAAATTCACAGTAACATGTAAATATAACCCCGTATCTCAATCAGAGGTACCTGAATATTTTAAAGAGGAATGGAATTTCAAATAGTGTAAAAAAGTGAAATAAGAAAATATTCAGTCTCAGCCTCTTCCTTTCTTCTACTATAAGCTCACAGATATCTGAAAGCTGCAATTTTTTTCATAATAGCTCCTATGGCAATAACAAATGGGAGAGAAAAGGAAAAAGGTGAGCTAGCTTTAAGTATGCAATCTGTAAGTCAAGAACTACCACTAAACTTTTTTAAAAAGACAGAAGTTATATATACATACATATGCACGCACACACACACACACACACACACACACATACACATATACATACATATTTAGATAAATAGATAAAAGTTGCTCCCTGACTACATAGAAAACCTTTAAAATGTATTCTAAGCACGTTTCAGCATGCCAATAGACTTGGAAAAAGCAGGATTAAAAAGGTACAGCAAGGGAGACAATTTAAAAATCTGGTGTATCTTAAAAAAACCGCTTTTAATCAAATGTCTTCACTTGAGCTTTATTTAATTCATATTCAAGTCAAACATTTCTCTAAGATTCTCACATACCAAGATTAGGCCCTATAACAAGAGCAGTTCAAATATCCACTTAATTATCTCTCCTTCAGCTCCTCCACTTTGGTCAAGATCTACTAAAGAACTGAAAGGTCCTAAGCATCATCAAAAATTAATCCAGTCATATATACAAAAAGATATGCTAATATTGGTGGGGGAGGGGAGAAGCTAACATAAAATTTAGGCAAAATTTGACTTTATATCCTTCCCTCCTTTTAAATGGATAAAATTTAGGTCATTTTTTTTTTTTTAGAATTACTAAATGTTTCAGATATGTTGTTCGTATACAGCTACCCAAAATTCATATACTTTACACCCATACAATTATTCCTAAAAACCACTGAATAAGAAAATTTTGTACACAAATTTTGTCTAAAATTTGAGAATAAGATAAAAAGGCATTTCTGCCTCTAGAATAGGGGTCGGCAAGCTACAGCCCAAGGGCCAAATCTGACCTATCACCTGTTTTTGCATGGCCTGTGAGCTAAGAAGGTTTTTACATTTAAAAAATAAAATTTAAAAATAGTTCAAAATGTAAAAAACATTCTTAGCTTTCAGGCTGTACAAAAACAGGTGGTAGGCCAGATTTGGTCTTTGGCCCAGGTTTTGTCAACCCCCTGCTCTAGAAGATAAAAGCATCTGCTGAGGAAAACAGTACTTTCTTTGCTTATGAGCATTCTCTTGTTTCCTTCTGATTTAGAAACCAGTACGTGTTCTTGGCCTCCTAAGTCTAAAAGGACTTGGAATAGAATGGACAAGGTTGGTAGCACCCATTGTTATAGTAGAGATCAGAAATAAGAAATTTACTGTGTTGTTGGTTCAAAAAGCTTGAAGAGAGAGAAGTAAGATCTTAGAACATAAACCTAGAAGGGAAGGAGAGAGCTAAGACCATCTAATCCCATCACCTCATTCTTACAGATGAGGAAAGTGAGGCTCCGGGAATTTAAATGACTTGCCCAAGGTCATACAGGTAGTGGTATTTGAAGCCACAGCTTCTGATTCTAGAACTAGAGGTCTTTCCACTTTCCCACATTTCGTCCCCTCACCTAAAGGTTATAGAATTGGAAAGACGAAAAACTTAGGGACTCCTTGCCCTGAGACCTTGTTTTACAACAAAGGAGCTGACAGAAAGTATCCTTCTTTGTTGTTATATACTGAGCAATATACAGCATATACAATATACAACATATTTTTATGTTTCTAAAACAAAGAAGTCTTTGAGGATTGTTAAATAAACTGCTATAAGCAATAGAGCAGCCTTTTTCCCCCTTTGGAAGACATGTTCCACAACTGCTCTAAATGGAATCTTTTCAGGAGAACTCTGTCTCACATTAAGATACGTACTGGTACAATATTTAAGACCATGAAACAAACATAACAGTGTACAAGGACATAAATACTACCTATTGTCAATTAAATCAAATGCTATTCCAAATCAGATATTCTTATGCCTGTTTTACATTCTCTACCATTGTTCACAAGCCACCCAAAATCCTTTGGCAGGCCCCAGTGGCCCTAAGTTGTGTAGGCCTGCCCCATGGGAATTTTGCATAGTCAGTTTTGCTGAGAAATTTGCATTTTTGCAGGCTGCCCGAAATCCTTTGGCCAGCAAGCAGTGCTAGGGCCATGGCCTGCAATTTTGTGCAGGCCTGCCCTAAAAGAATAAATCTCTAACTAGCCGTACCAGTTACAAATGACAAAGAAAGAAGAAAATAGTTAATAATGAATTCTCTTTGATTTTCTTTCCAAATTCTTAGAATTGTAAAGTTGCTTTTAGTCTCCTAATTTCCATCTCTACTTTAATACTAGCTCAATACAACACATGGCATTCCCTTTTTTTTTTTTTTTTTTTAAGGCAAATAGGTTTAAGTGACTTGCCCAGGGTCACGCAGCTAGTAAGTGTCAAGTGTTTGGTCTGAGGCCGGATGTGAACTCAGGTCCTCCTGACTTCAAGGCCGGTGCTCTGTCCACTGCGCCACCTAGCTGCCCTGGGAATTCTTACTGTAATGATTCTACTGTTGTTAGGAATGCTATGTGTTGGGGCAGCTAGGTGGCACAGTGGACAGAGCACCGGCTCTGAAGTCAGGAGGACCTGAGTTCAAATCCGGCCACAGACCAAACACTTGACACTTACTAGCTGCGTGACCCTGGGCAAGTCACTTAAACCCATTTGCCTAAAAAAAAAAAAAATTCCCATAAACTTATATTTTAAATAATTGTAAAGACAGCCCTTCTTACCAAAATTTCATGTTGTGCTTTCATGGTTTTGATGACACATTCAGCAATCTTTCTGGGATACTGCTTACGTTTTGTAGCTGTATCTACTATAACTTCATCAAACTGATCTTCAAGAATTCTGACCTTGGGATCTAAATTCATAAAAAGAAATAATTTAAAACAAAAGAAATTATGCCTAAAATATTTTTCTGAGCACACTACTAATACTCTATAGGAAACTATTAAAAACTTATGCTTTTTAAAAGGGCAGCATGCTTCTGGAAAAACAAAATAATTTTTGAATAAAGAAAATTAATTAACTTAAATATAAACCACATACTAAGGTGCAATGGAAGTACATGCAATTTCTCAAATTCAATCCAATTAAATGGTGCAAGTGAATACCTCTTTAGCGGTCCTAGCTAAATTAAACCAGCTAAATCACTTCTCAAAATGGTATTGCTATCTCTTAAAATCAGATGTGTTAATCACTTTACAAAGAGCTATACAAAAATGAGTCAGGTCAATTCCAGCAAACATTTACTGTATTAAGTACCTACTATATGGGTGGACTTGATTAATCTAAGCCTCAGTTTTCCTCTCTGTATGTTGGTAGAATAAAGATTTCATTCATGTGTCCAGTTCCTTCACTAGTACAGAACACAAATCCTCCATGACTTACCCTGTGCAATTTTTGTCAACATTTTCCACCCAATGCAGTTAGGAGCATTCCTCTAGCACTTCTAGTGGGTACTAAGGGGTCCCAATATACTACTTGGACTTTCCAAACACTCTCTCCCCCTCTCACCACACAACTGGCCCATCTCTTTGGATCTTATATATTCTCTACAATTTCTAGGCTATTCCTCATACAGCAATCATTGTTGGTAACATGCTACAGTTCTTTATGCAAACTCTTGTCTTTTTATTGCCTTTTGGGTTATTTGTAATTTTAATTTTTTGGACAAGATGGAGTTCTAGGGTTCACAGTCACATAGTACCACTGGCAGAATATTAGTATTAAAGAGAAGGGTTTTGGGGGCAGGAAGCAGTTTGGGATCACTGAAAATACACACAATTTCTAAAATGCAATCCAACCATACTTCTTCTTTCTATTTATGTATGGATCCATGTATAAAATTTATCCAACATATACTGGACTGATTCAATAGGCTGCCTGCTTAGCTTCATGTCACAGACTGACCAATATACAACCTTTATCCACTTTTCCCCCTACAGTGGTTATAAGACCAATTCCTTTTGCTATGGATATGCTATGGATTCTAATGAGTAGGTTGTGTAGGTAGTATTCAAAGCAATTAATACAATTCCATCATCAATGGAAGCATTTGAAAACTACTAATCTACAAAATGAAGGTAATACTTGCAGGAGCTACTTCCTAGGATAATTGGGAGGAAAGCACTTTGTAAACTGCAAAAATATGATATACACATAAGCCATCATTATCATTGTTATTAAAATACACAACATATTGTAAGCCTACCCAATAAAAGTGCTTACCTTGCAATATTCTTAATGTGAAAACTTCATTAAAATTTTAATTTGCTCAATTAAAATTATAAAACAAAGAAATTATATCATTAGCCTAGAAAAAAATACTGTAATACTTTATGATTAATTGCAAAATAAGTCTCCAAGGCAAAACAAGTATGAATGCAGGAAAAAAAAATGGCTTCTTGGCACCATCTATTGGTCAGTCTGAAAAACTGTAATCTAAGCCTGTTTCTTACGAATGAAAAAGCATTTAAGTGGTTACTCTATATCAAGCAGTGAGGATAAAACAGATGCTCAAGAGGCACATGCTCTAATTGGGGACGACAACAAGCAGATCAACTGCAAGCTGGAAATTAAGGTATAGGTGCCCTTAGGATTCATCAGTATTTCAGAAGCAGTTGCGAGGGGTTTAGAGATCACAGTGGCAAGGTAGATGGTTAAGCAGGACAAATGATAAGCCCAGAATCAGGGTTGGGGAGCCTGTGGCCTCGAGGTCACATGCGGCCTTTTAGGTCATCGGGTGTGGCCTTTTGACTGAGTTCAAGTTTCACAGAACAGTCCTTTTATGAAGGGGATTTGTTCTATGAAGTTTGGCGTGGAAGCTGCAGGTTCCCCACCCCTAGCCTTAGATCCTTCTGGATACTTTCTCTTCTCTGGGTATTGCTGTTATGGTTGTAACTTGGTTCTCTTCCTATCTGTATAATGACTCTTTCTCAGACATCTTTGTTGAAGTTTCATCCAGGTTATGCCCACCTGCTATGGGCGTACTTTTAGGCTCTGTCTTGAGCCTTCCCTGTCCTCTTCCTTTGCTACTCTCTAACCTTATCGGATCCCATGGGCTCAATTATCATCTCTCTTCAGATGACTCCCAGATCTACTTACCTATTTTTGGTCTCCCTCCTGAGCTCCAGGCCTGAATCACAAATTGCTGGCTGCCAGCTTGAATTGAACTTTCTAGAATTATCTCAAGCTCAACATACTCAGAATAGAATTCGCTATATTTCTCCTAAACCAACCAATAAAATTAGATTCCTAATTCTCCTGAAAGCACCACCATCTTTCCAATCACTCAAGCTTACAACTTCAGTGTTACCCTCATTCTTCCTCACCCCATACATTCATTCAGTTACCAAATATTGTCAGCTCCATCAGCACAAGATCTCTCACAGACATCTTCACCTCTTCACTCACAGAGCCACCTCTCTTTCCCTGGACTACTGCAATAGAATCAATACCTCTCATGTCTCTTTCTACTCTATTTCATCCTCTACATAGCTGCCAAAGTGATTTTCCTAAACTACAAGTCTCACAATGTCACCTCCTACTCAATAAACTACAATGGCTCCTTATAAAGCCCTTCCTCTCTTTCCAGCCTGTCACACTTGATTCCCTTCCACACACTTTATAATCCCCCTATACCAAATAGTTGCTGCTCCTTGGACAGAAAAACTCTCTCCTCCATCTCTGTATTTTTGCAGTAGCTGTCCTCCACTCTCCTCACTTCCACCTGTCAGAATCCCCGTTTCCTCAAAGACTCAGTTCAAATGCCATCTTCTGTAAGAGGCCTTTTCTGGTCCCAACACCTGCTACTGATTTCCTCCTTGTAAGACAGACCATTGGGATAAACCCACAATTATGGGAGGGATATGAATGATGATTCAACCAAGGAGGCTAACGGTGGTCAGACAGGTAGGAGGAGAATCAAGAAAGATCGATGTCATGAAAACCCAGAGGAAAGAATATTCAGGAGACAGCAGTCAACAAGTGTCAGACATTGAAGAGGTCAAGAAGAATAAGGACTGAGAAAAGGCCACTACAGAAATGTGAGTTATTATTAGAAGACAGTCTCTTTTAGGAAAAGAGGTGTGAGACATGTTTGGTAACACCACTTCTACTCATGAGGAAGAGTTTTTTACTCCCTTCATAATTAGTGTGTGAAGTGAATGGGTGATAAGGAAGCAGCTTCAATCATTTAGGAAATACATTTATAACACTGAACTGCCTGAGATCTTTCCTTTTATCTACTAAAAAAGAGTACATTCAAAGTTACCCTACAGAACAAAGTCAAAACAAACTCTCCATACTATATAAACACTGGGAAGTATCACTGAAACATCACCTACCTCCTCAGCACTTTGACAGCACCAAGGCAGCAGCTTAAGTCATTTTTCAAATTTTCTTCAACTAAATGAAGGCTACTGGACATCAAACTAGCACCAAAACAGACACTGTGCCCAGTTGCGCCACTCTTTCCCTCCATGTTTTGCTGCCTGATACTGAGGAGCCCATGTGGCTTCTCAGCCTCCAGTTCATGTTCAATAAAACTTGGATAATTCCGCCAGTTCTGTCTACTTCACAGGGCACTCAAAGGATCAAATGAGAAAATGCACACAAAAAAGCTTCATCAAGATTAACCAGAAGACAATGCTTATTGCCAATACCATTTATAGGGTATCACTCCAAGGTATCTGCTTTGTTTATTTAGATTATTAAGTATAATATGCCTTCTTTATTAATTTAAATTTCTCTAAATTAAATGTAAGAGGAAAACTGAAATCAGAGATGAAATACAACATTAACATTCAAAATGAGTGGTCATACTTTATGTAAATAGGCCATAAAGGATTTAATCACATACCTACAGGAATTTCATTATCTGAAGTTTCCTGCCACGCCTCCCCATTGAAACTAACATTCTCTTGCACAGCAGTTACAAAATTCTGTAATAAATTAAGAACAGTTAAAATAACAAAGACTGCAAATGCTTGATTAAAGCAGCATCCACAACTAACTAACTTCAGATTTAGCCTATCTAACATGGAGACCAGTCAGATCTGAAGAGGAAATCAAGGACCCAGGTTCAAATCTTACCTCTGCCACATACCTTTGTGGCATTGAGTAAGTCACAGAACTTCTCTGAGCTTTAGTTTCCCCATCAGCAAAATGGGGATCCTAATATTTGTACTAATCATTTAACAGAAGTGCTCTGAGCAAAATGCTTCATCATCCAGGTAGCATTAGAACAATATAAGTATTTATGTACAAGTCTGTGGGGTAAGGCTAATACCAAAAAGTGATATTATGCTATTGGGTATATTTTTTTCCTTAAAAACAAAATTAGGCTCCATTTCAATAGTTGAAATTATAGTTAGTCAAGCAACAAGCATTTATTAAGCACTATGTGCTAGGTACTGTGCTAAAGGCTGGGGATACAAAGAAAGGCAAAAACACTAACCTTGCCCTCAGGGAGCTCACATGCTAATGTGGCAAAATATAAATAACTATGTAAGTATGTGTGTATTTATGATATCTAGAGTAGAATAGAAGATAAACTCAAAGGGAAAGCAGACATATATCATATAATTCGATGAGCCTTTAAAGTATAATTTTTATTTCATAACATTTAAAAGTAAATAAAAACTGAGGTCCAAACCATGGTGCACTTCAATTAAAAAAGGTTAAACGAAGACCAAAATTCTTTGAGTAAGAGTCTCAAAAGCATAGATACTATAATACTATCATCTGATGATTGACACAAGGCAATCTACTTTAAGTATTAACTGCTATTCAGCATGGCACAGCGGAAAGAGTACTATAAGCTGTGGTACCTTGGGCAAAACAAGTAACCTCTCTGGGTCTCAGTTCCTTAACTATAAAATGAGGGTATTAGACTAGATGATTTCTAAGGTCCCATGCAGTTCTAAATCAGTAATCCTACAAATTAGCTTATTTTCTACTCCAAATCTCTAAAGTAGCAAATCATAGGATCACATATTTAGAGTTGCAAGGGATCTTAGGGACCATCTGTCCTGAAAAACTGCATACCATACTTATCAATAAATATTGATTGTGAACATAAACTGTTTTTATGTATCATAGTAATGTTTATTCCACCAGTGCAATTAACATCATTAGTACATGATATTATACTAGTGTAAACTATAATAGTTTACACTATTATTTTGTAATAAAATATTTCCTTGTGTATTTTGTGCAGCCAAAACATTATTTTTCCAAGAGTTTTGTTTCCAATTGAATAATTCCATTTTGAATTACATTTAAAAATGTAAATAACAATAACAAGCTGAGTCACTAATTTCCTGGGAGACTCAAGCATTTAAAATAATTTACTCACGTTATTCTTGAAATAAATTCCAGAGATTTAACATAACAAAACAATTTATTCATAGAATTGAGCGGGCAGGGGGGGCTCAGAAGTCACGTAATACAACCTCCCCTTTCATTTTACAGTTGAGATAACTGAGGCCTAGAGAAGTTCAGCTTACCAAAGGTTACACAGCAGCAAATGTCAGAGGCAGAATTCGAATTCAGGCTGTCTCCAAACTCTAGAGCCAGTGCTCTTTACATATTGTATCATGCCGCTGACTCCTAGTTAGTCAACAAGAATTTATTAAGTTCTTACTATGTGCCAATCACTATGCTAAACACTGGACATGCAAAGAAAGACAAAAACACTCTTTTCCCCAAGGCACTCACTTCCTGATGAGAGACATGTAAATAGCTACATACATACTCTGTGTGTTGTTGGGATTTCAACTGACTCTTGAAGGCAGCCAGGGAAGCTAAAAGGTAGAGGTGAGGGGGCAAGGTATTACATGGATGGAGGATAGCCAGTATAAAGGCAGAATCAAGAGATGGAGGATCATATGTGAAGAAGAGCAAATAGGTCACTGAAAATGGATTATAAAGCGCATGGAGGAGAGTAAAGTGTTAAGACTGAAAGGTATGAAGGGGTCAGCTTTAATGCCAAACAGAGGAGTTTCAATTTGGCCCTGAAGGTAAATAGGGAGCCACTGGAGCTCACTGAACAGGACAGTTAAATGGTCAGACCTAGACTACAGAAAAACCACTTTGGGAACTGAGCACAGAATGAACTGGTATAGGGAGAGATTCTAGACAGAGAGACCAGTTAGAAGGAGATTTCAACAGTCAATGCGACAGGTGATGAGGATCTGGACTATGTGAGCAAGAAAGAGACATTTATGAGAGATAGGGTAAAGGTCAAAACACCAGGGTTTGGCAGAGGCTGAGGACGACACTGACGTCGTGAGCCTGGATCATTGGTGCCCTCAACAATAACATGGAAGTTCAGAAGAGGGAAGATTTTGGGGAGAAAAGTAGTAAGTTCTTTTTTGGACATGTTAAAGTTTGAGACGTCTATGGAATATCCAAAGTAAGATGTCCAAAAGGTAAAATGGAACTGTGACTCAGGAGAGGGACCAGGACTAGATACAAATCTAGGGATCATCTGCACAGAAATAACAACTGAATCCACGGAGCTGAAGAGAACACCAAGTGAGACAGTTTAGGGGGAAAAGAAAAGAAGGTTCAGGACAGAGCCTAGGGAGACAGCAGCAATTAGTGGGTGTGACATTAAAAACCAGCAAAGGAGACTGAAAAAAGAGTGTATATCCAGATAGGCCCCAAAGAAGATAACTCCCTAGCTCATTGGCAAATGTCAGGGTCCCCAGGTGTGCAACATTAAATAAATGTCAGAGATTTTTTTCTTGATGCAATTATGCTCAATGTTTTCTTTTGTTTCTCTCTTTCTTTAAAAAAAAAAAATCTGTTATAAGGGATAACTGTCTGGGAGAGAAAAGGTCGAAGGATAGAGGAAGAAATTTGGGTAATGCCAAAACAATGTATTTTTAAAAAGAAAACTATTTTTAAAAAGGAGGTGATTACAATAGTCCAGGTGAGAGGTGATGAGGGCCCCAATCAGGCTGACGACTTTGTGAATGGAAAGAAGGGGACATAAGGGAAAGATGTTGTAAAGGTAAAGACAAGGTCAGAAATATGAAGTGAGTGAGGAGCTGAGGAATACAGTTAGGTATCAAGCGAAGTTCAGAAAAGGAGAGAATTTGGAGTTGATTTTGAGATGCTTACAGGACATTGAGTTCTAGATGTCCAAAAGACAGTAAATAATGTGTGACTATAGCTCAAAAAAGGGACTAAGACTGGATATATAGAAACAGGAAGATAATTTAGGAGTGAGAAGGATGGATCAGCAAACCTCTGCAACTCTTAATTCTCTCAGTCCCTTGTTTCATCATGAACTGTTCCCCTATTCATAAATCTGAAAAATACCTTCTTTGCTTCTCTAACTTGCTTATGAGGTGACTTTCGATATTAAAGTTACGTATCCTTTTGGAGCTTATCTTGGAATATGGTATACAGTGTGAGAGACTGATCTAAATTTAATTTCTACCAGACTGCTTTCTAGTTTTCCCAACAGGTTTTTGTCAAATAGATTGGGGTCTTTGATTTTCCTTGAATTTCCTGAAGAGAAGTACATATATACAGGATGTACTTAGTCCCACAACTCTAAGACTTTGCGAATACCCTTTCTATGTCAGGCGGGAACCTCTAACAGGGATGGTAATGAATGGCACACACACAGAGTACACATCGTGTGTCCTATTCCTCCCTTTTCCCCCCAAGTTTCCCTTACTAGCCTTTTTTTTCCCTTTTCCCCAACCCTTCGGTCTATGCCGCAGGTCTAGACATCAAGAGCTAGCTGAGAACTCACTACCTGAGGAACCCTGTGCTGACAAGTCACTCCTCACCCATCTGGGCCTCAGTTTCCTCCTCTGTAAAATAAGGAGCCAGGGCCTGAGAGTCTCTAGGATCCCTCGCACCCGTGACATTCTAGGGGTCCGTGATGCTCGCGAGCTGCGGGGAAGGGTGTGCAAGCAATAGAACTCTGACGCCCTCGGGGCCAGCAGACGGGGGCGGCCCATACCCACTGCGCGTCCTTCAGCGCCAGCTCCCGGCTCTTCTCGGGCAGGACGTCCCCCAGCTCCCGGATGAAGCGGCTGCACATCTTCAGCACTTCGGCCACCGCCTTCTGCGACGCGCAGCGCACCCGAAAGTCCTCCACGGGGTCGGCGGACGAGGCCGGGGCTGATCCCGTCTCTGTAGCCACAATTTGCTTCTCTTCCTCCTCCTCCTTCTCTTCTTCACCCGCCTGCTGCTCCCGCTGGCGCTCCGGCCTCCCCGCCATTTTTCCCCAAGTTCGAAATCGGCGGTGCACAGATTCCGGAAGCGGAAGGGCGGGACTTTAGAAAACCGGAAGTGCCTGGCGGTCCTATCAGGAAGCTGGAGCCTTCGCGCTTGCGTCATGCTCCGGAGGAGAGGCAGCCATGGGAGCCGTGACGCCCGGGTTTGTGGATTGTCACTGTCACCTCTCCGCGCCCGACTTCGACTCGGTACGCGAGGCCGCGGTGGGGCGGGGGTGAGGAGCCCCCGGGTCCCTTGCTGTCCCAGAATCGTCCAGACCCCTCCCCGCCGCTGGCTGCCCGTGCTCTAGTGCCCTCAGGCTCCCTCGGGCTTGGCGGACCGGGGCCGGGGGAGCGCGGGCCCTGTAGGTTCTCCTGCCCCGCGGGCCTCGGGCAGAAGGGTGGTCTCTTTGGGACTTCAGTCAGTCGACACATTTATTCAGTGCATAGTATATGCCAGATAATGTGCTAATAAGTTAGCGCGGGGATTGGGAAGGGGTGGGGAACAAACTGCACAATCCCTGCTTTCAGTGATAATAATTAACGTTTATATTTATTTACTTACTCTGTACCAGGCAGTGTGCTAAGCGCTTTACAATTATTAGCTCATTTGATCCTCACAACAACCCTGGGAAGTAGGTGCTGTTATCCATCACCACTTTACAGATGGAAAAACGGAGGCAAAGAAAGGTTAAGTGATTTACCGAACGTCACACAGCTAGTAAGTGTCTGAGGACAGATCTGATCTTCCCGACTCCAGTCCTGGCAACCTATATCCACTGTGCCACCTACCTGCCCAAGGAGCTCATAGTCGAATGGGGAGAGAACATACAAACAAGCTATGTACAGAGTAAATTAAAGATTATCAACCGAGGGAAAGCATTAGCATCAAGGGGGAATCAGAAAAGGCTTCCTGGAGAAGGTAATATTTCAGTGGGAACTTGTAGGAAGCCAGGAGGCAGGGATGAAGAGAGAGTGTTTTAGGCATGAGACCCCATGAATATGAGGTGCTGGTGGCACAGCCTCTGAAAGAAGGCTATACCTGCTTGTGAAATCCCTAATGTAACCCACCTGACAAGTTTACGTGCATCCAGCCTTTGCTTGAGGAACCTTCAGTGAGGTGGCGCTTACCACCTGCTCCTTTGAAGCCCATTCCATTTTTGGATAGCTGATTGTGAGGATGGTTCTCCTTATATGCGGTATGGATTTGCTTTTTTACCTCTTCCACCTGCACGTTTTAGTACTCCTAGTCTCTGAAACTGAGCAGAACTATTCATTCATTTGATAGGCATTAGAATGGGGACAAAATAGCGCCTACCTCCCAGGATTGTTATGAGGATAAAATGAAGTAATATTTGTAAAGAACTTTGCAGCTTCAGAAAGCTGTATTAATGCTAACTATTATCTTAGGTGCCAGGAATAAAAAAAAAACAGTTATACCCTGGCAAGAGCTCATATTCTAGTTCTTCAGGTATTCAAGGACAACTCTCAGTGCCCAAGTTTTTTTTTGTTCCAACCCATTCCAATCCCCAATATGTATTATATTTTCCAGAGTATAAGCAATAAAGAAGTATGACACTCACTTGTGAAATGAAGAGTTCAGGCTAATCCGCTTTAAGAAAGACAAAAATAAGGCAGCAATAGCAACCCACTCCATATAAAAGTCTGTTAATGCTCTGCACACTCTACAAGTTATAGGAATTAGAGCCAAAAGGGAAGTTGGAGTCCAAACCTACCTTTTTAAAAATAAGGAAACTGAGGGGCAGCTAGGTGGTGCAGTGGATAGAGTACTGGCCCTGGATTCAGGAGGATCTGAGTTCAAATCCGGCCTCAGACACATAACACTTACTAGCTGTGTGACCCTGGGCAAGTCACTTAAACCCATTGCCTAGCAAAATAAAATAAGGAAACTGAGGCATGGAGTTAGTAAATGACAAGGTAAGTAGTCAGCACAGTGAAAGTGGATACCACCCACCATGCAGGGCTTTGTGCTTGATGCTTTTGAAATAAAGTAGGCCTTGCTTTGGGCATCTCACTATCTGAAAGGCAGCCCTAGGGAATCTGTTTGAGGCTGTTGGGTAAGCCAGATTCCTGGGAAACCAAATAAGGGTGGGGAAAAACATTCCCAATGAGTCCAGGGCCTAAATATAGAGAAAACTGAATCCAGCTAGACCAATAATGCCATTATTGAAGTATTTAGAAAAATTATGCTTCTAGTAAACAGCTTAGTCACACAGTGGATAGGGCTCTGGAATTAAAGTCAAGAAGACCTGAGTTCGAATCCAGCCTCAGATAGAAGCTGTGTGACCCTGCACAAGTCACTTAACCTCTGCCTCAGTTTATCCATCTGAAAAAAGGAGGTAATAAAAACATCTACCTCCCAAGGTTACTATGAGGATCAAAGGAGACAATATTTGTAAAGTGCTTAACATAGTACTTGGCACATAATAAGTGCAATATAAATGTTAGCAAGGAGGAGGAGAGATATGAGATGAACACTTGAATAAGAATCTGTGCTGTAGTAGCTTACAGGAAAACTTCCCTCTGGAGGGATAGTTAAATGGCAGGAAGAACGTAGGGCAACAAAAAGCAAACTCCTCTTGATTTTCTTTACTTGTGAAAGCATTTCCCCCAAACCTTTCCATATTGATCACATATAAACACATACCTTATTTAATGTTAATAACTGGTTTAAACATTGGCCAACTTGAAGAGTCTGAAAGATGTTTATGTTGTTAATAACACTAGTATTGTGCTTGGTTATTTATTAGTCTTTATTCATGATATTCTGATCAGAGGCAGCATGGTCTTTTGGATAGATAGCTGGTCAGGAAGACTTCGGTTTCATTCCTGTCCATACCAGTTATGTGACCCTACACAAGACTCTTAACCTCTTAGTAATCCAGGCAACTCTCTAAGACTATAAGTCTCTGTATTGGTAGAGAGTTTCCTCATCGGAGAGTACCCTATACCAGTGAAATCAGAGGTACAGTCCATAACCCTATTCTACTCATTCTCTTTCCTCTAAACTGCCCATCCCTTCTTACCATGCTGGCCAATGAAAAAAAGAAAAAAGGGCGTGGGGGAAAGATGAACAACCCAACCAGGACCAATATTTTTGTAGGTTCCACTTTGATTAAAAATAACCTTTATTCACCCTATTCAATTTCACTGGGTCCCCTTGTTTAGCCTTTATTCTGAAAACACCACATAGTGTGCTCTGTGAATGAAAATACATTGTTTAATGTATTATTCTGTTCCTCTTCATGTATGTTAACTAACCTTTTTTTTTATGCTTTTTGGTGAAATAATCTTATGTTAACTAAACCTGAACCCAATTTGGAACTCTTAAGTTGTCCTGTTTTCTATCTGACTTTATCTGTTGCCATTCCTTATGGTTCTTCAGCCAGTTTTGAAATAATTGTATGTTCTGACCTACATATTTATCTAAAATTTAATTATATATACATATATTTATGTCTTATAAGATATTTAAGTTTAATTATCCTATTTTTTAGGATCTTGAAGATGTGTTGGAGAAAGCCAAGAAGGTCAGTGTCTATGGCCTATACCAATTCTATGCAGAAACAGCTTAAAATTGGGGAATATCGCTTCTTCTCTGGTTGACCTAGGCATAGGTAGCGTTGCATATTTGTTATAAGTCTCAAATTTAGATTATACTGAGGATATTGGATAAATTTTAAAATTTCCTGGAACATCTTTCTTTGTTTCAAGAAAAATACTAAAATAACAAGTTATTTAATTCTTAGAAGACCTCTTGATCCATTTTAGCTCTAGCTTTCTTTGATATCTCAAGAGAAATGAAAGAGCAGACAGTAGATCCTAATTTTCCTTTTTCTATCATAGCCAACTTTCAAAAAACCACGCTTACAGAGAATGGGGTTAACCAGGAGAGTTAAAATTCATAGACGATGTGGAAGTCTTCTTGAACAAATGAAACTAACTCCCATTTACATACTGCTTTAAGGTTTACAAAGCACCTTCCTTATAGAACCCTGAGAGCCAGGTAGTAGAAATTTCATTATCCTCATTTTAGTGTCAGAGACTTGATCATCACAAAGCTTATAAGTATGTATTGTTTAGTGCTTTAAATGCTTTATATTTTCTTGTTGCAGGCCAATGTGTTAGCCATTGTAGCAGTTGCCGAACACTCAGGAGAGTTTGAAAAGGTCATGCAGCTTTCAGAAAGGTAGCTCCTTTTTTATTTATATATTTTCATATACACATACATACACATATATACACACATATATGCATTTTTCATGCATATACACACACATATACACATATATCTTAGCATTAAAAGTAACTATGCTAAAACCAGTGAAGGTATGATCATTTATAGACTGAAGTATGAAATTTATAATCTGAACATTATCAGTGCATATTGAAAGGGAACAGTGAAGCCAACTTTGATATAGTTTTGAACAAATGGGGGCCTGTGAATATTTTTTTCTGGTTATTCTCCAAAAGGGGATGGTAGTGTACTTTTCCTGCTCTACTACTTGGTAACTGTTTCCTTATTTTTAGGTACATGGGGTTTGTTCTGCCATGCCTAGGTGTTCACCCTGTTCAAGGACTTCTACCAGAAGACCAACGAAGTGTCACTTTAAAGGTACTGTCAGATGGAATGAGTAATAATACTAAATGCACAGATGACTGCTAGTAAAGTAACATCTATTCCCCAGTATTTGCAGTGAAGATATAACAGTTTTTCTCAGGGTCTTGTGTTCTGTATTGTTTAGAAAAATTTTTTCCACATCTGTGATCCCAGCCCATATTGTAAAATAATTACTGGCTCCATTTTGAAGAGGGGTAGCCAGGTGGCATAGAGGATAGATTTCTGGGCCTGGAATCAGGAAGACTTATCTTCCTGAGTTCAAATCTGGCCTTAGACACTCACTCGCTGTGTGACCCTGGGCAAGTCACTTAAGCCTGCTTGCCTCCATTTCCTCATCTGTAAAATGAGCTGGAGAAGAAGTGGCAAATCACTCCAGTATCTTTGCCAAGAAAGCCCCAAATGGGGTCACAAAGAGTAGGACATGACTGAAAACCTGAACAACCACCATTTTGAAGAAGTGGAAATTTTTGAGTAGCCTCTTAATGATTTCATGAACAAGGTCAGAGTTGAGACTATTATTTTTTGTAGTTCTTGTATTACAATATTCCATTGACAAGTATTTATTAAGTACCTGCTATTTTCTAGGCACTGTGCTAGAGGTGAAACAGATAGTTTCTGGCATAGGGTATACAAAGACAAAAATCAAACAGCCCCTGCCCTTGCCTAAGTTTTATCAGAGGAATCAATATTTCAACTCCCTCCGGAATCATTGCTATACAGTGCCTCCCTCAATTATGGACTGATTAAAATTCAAAGCATGAAAGTTGTTTAACTTAGTAGGGTAATTATAATACAAAAATTCAATAACTACAATCCTAGATTCTCAAAGCAAAGATTCATCAAATGTAATGATATGGCTCTATGACTGACAGGTGATTTATATTAATACCTAATAGAGGTTCAGAGCTCTTATCATGCAAGTAACACAAAGTTTAATCTTTACTTGTTCCAAAATATGTTTTGTCTCTCCCTTGATTCCTCAGCTCCTTAAAAACAGAGACTGCATTTTTCTATTTCTTATAAAATTTCCACAGTACCTAGTACCGTATTGGGCATGTGGTAAGTGCTCAATAAATGGTATTTTAGTTGATGGACAAAAGGTAAGTTACAAAGAGTTAAAATATTTGGCTGGGATTACACAAATCTTTAATATGTAATAACAGCTACAGTGGAATATGGAACTTTTGGCTTGATATTTTGCATAATTCCATGTAGCTGAACAACAAATTGAGGCAAGGTTTTAGGTTAAAATTCTGAGGGGCAAAAATTAGCAGCTAAATTCTTGAACCCCTAAAGGTTCTGAGACAAAGTGTTGTTTTTTTTAATAACAGACTACATATAATTAAAGTAATTCAAGATAAATATGATTACTTAATTATTTTTAATTTGTTTTATTTAAAACAGCCTTATCTTTTCTTTTAGGACTTGGATGTAGCTTTGCCACTTATAGAAAATTATAAAGATCACTTGCTGGCAATTGGGGAGGTAAGCCCCCTTTGACTTAGTTAATAAGACTAACCAAGACTGTCCCATCCCACAGAAAACACCTCATCTCTAACCTGAAAACATTTCTTAAATTTCTGTCCTAGTCATCAGATTTGCTTGGGGTATGCCAGTCAACGTTCAACAATTCAACAAATATATGTTGTGTGTTTATTAACTGCAAAGCACTGTGAGAGGCATTAAGTTAACTTAGAAAGGATGTTTACTCTCAGGGAGCTTACAGTCTGTGAGGGAAGTTAACACATGTACACAAATAACTAATAAAAAGAATAAGTTAAGAACCTAAGAGGTATAAGTATGTGCTTTATCAGAATTAATAGTAGGAAAAGTTCATTTCTGGCTGTAGTATTGGAGAAGATTTAAGGAAGGAGGTAGCATTTGAGTTAGGCCTGAAGCAAAGTGGAATAATTAAAAATAAAAAAGTTAAAATGCAAGAGATATTTTGGAGATAGAATTGATGAGCCTTATTGGATATGGAATTCAGCTAGAGAGAAGCATCAAAGATGACTCTGTGATTACAAGCATAGGTGACTGGACAATGGTGGTACCATTAAGAGAAATGGAGAAGTCAGGTCTTCACAGAGTTGGAAGGGACCTTAGCAACTGTATAGACCACCCCATACACTAAAGGAGTCCCCACTGTAACATACCTGACAAGTGATCGTACAGCCTAAGGAAAGAACTAGAAGGAGGGGGATTCCACCTCTTGAGACAAGCCATTCCACTTTTGGATAGTTCTAACTGTTAGTTTTCCTAGTATCAAATCTAAATTTTTCTCTTTGCAACTTCTGCTCATTGCTTCTCATTTTGAAAAGAGCAAAACTAAACAGAAAAGTCTAATCCCTTCTCTACATGCCAGCCCTTCAGAGATTTGGAGACAGCTGTTGTATCATTGCCTGAGTCTTCTCTTCTCCAGGCTAAACGTGCCCAGTTCCTTTGACTAATCTGTGTATGGCATGAACTCAAGGCCCTTCACCATCCTAGTTGCCCTCCTCTGGACACTCTCCAACTTGTCGGTGCCTTTATAAAATTATGGCACCAAGAACTGAACATAGTTCTCCGGGTGAAGTTTGGTTAGGGCAGTGTGAATAGTGTGACTTTTGCCTTCCTGTTCTCAGAAGCCACACTCCTCTTAAAGCAGCCCACAGTTGTTGCAGCAAGCTACAGCACACCACGCAGCTGACTCCTATTAGGAGTTTCATGGAGTATAAAGTGTAAAACCCCAGTAGGATGGTCTGAGCTTGCAGGTCACTAGCATTTCCAGATCTTCAGAAAAATTGGTATCCATCTGTGCCTTCTCATCCCTTTCCTCTTTATGGAGTTGATTTTTTTTGTACCCTAGTGCAAGACTTTACATTTATCCCTATTGGATTTCAAGCCCAGTGCTTGAGCCTGTGAATTTTGGATCTTTTGGAGCCTGCCTTTTGGATCCTTACTCTGTTACCCAGTATATCACCTATCCTTCTCAGCTTTACTTCATCTGCAAATGTGGTGGCCATACCATCTATGACTTATCTAAGTCACTGATAAAAATGTTAACCTAGGAGAAATGCTACACTAGAGATTTCCTGTCATTTTAACACCAAATCATTAACAACTACTCTTGGAGTCCATCCATCCAACCAGTTCTGAATCCATCTGACTGTATTATTGTCTAACTGATATCTCTCCATCTCTTCTTCTACAGTAATGTGAGATATTCTAACAAAAGCCTTGCTAAAATCCAGAGAAGCTAAAACCAAAATGATCTACTAGTGTAGTAGTACTGTCAAAAAAGGGAATGGGGTTAATGTGCCATTACTTGTTCTTGATGAAGTTGCCTCCCTTTGAAACTATTCACCCACCTTCTCATTAATGATCCTTTCAACAGTTTTCCCTTTAGTTGACTAGCCCTTAGTTTGCAGACGCTGTTTTCTTCCCTTTTTTTGGGGAAAAAAAAAAGTACATTTGCCCTTCACCAGTCTTTTGGTACCCCTCCCCTTTCTGGGGATCTTTCAGATATTGACAATGGCTCTGAAATCTCATCTGCCAGCTCTTTCAGGACCCATGGATTTAGTTCCTGTGGGCCAGGTGACTTAAATTCATCAAGGGCAACTAAGTGCTCTCTTACTATCTTATTCTCTTTTGTATTAGTTCCATCTTAGTCATTTAGTTCTTTTATTTCTGATATAAAGGTCATTTTCCTTTATAGGAAAAGAAAAACAAAATAAAATTGAACGGGTCTGCCTTTTCTTTCCTATCAGTCGAGCAAAGGACCTAGCCTTTCTATGATCTTCCTTCTTCACCTGGAGTAAGTAAAAACGCCCTTTTATTGTTCTTAGCTTCCTTCACCAGCCTTAGCTCCTTTCAAGCTTTAACATTCCTAACACTGTTTTTACATAACTCTTATATTTATCATGTGTTATTTGGTCTTGCTTTCATCATCTGTACACTTATTTTTAAAATCAAAGTTGGTTGGTGAGTGCCCCATAAATCTATCCCATTGTCTTCAGCCAAATCCTTTTCCTGCCAATAATGGAACTGTTTTCCACTGTATCTTCAGAATTTTGTTATTGAGTATCTCCCATCCCTCCTGCTATAACTTCCCTTGAAGCATTTTAGTCCATGGGATCCTACCTATCTTTCTTTTGAATCCATTGAGCTCTGTTTTCCCAAAACCTAGGGTACTTACCAGGCTCTGACCAGTTTTTCTCTTCTTTTATAAATTCTAGAGTGGAGTGAGTATTCGTTTTCCTCCAAGGTTCCTATCATTTCCATCCCAGCAACTAGTTCCTCTCTGTTAGTGAGAATCAGATTCAAACTAGAATTCCCTTTTGTTCTTTCCATTGCCCTTTGAAGAATGAAATTATCACTGAGGCAAGTTAAGAAGTTATTAGCTGCCTTATTTTTGGCAGAAAGGGACCCCCATCTGATGTCTGGATGAAGTCCCTCATCACTACTATGTTATACCTCTATTCCCCAACTCCTCATGTCTTTCTTCCTGTAAAGGTAATAAACCCAGTTTGAGGACCTGGTAGGATATCCAAATGGTGATATCCCATGAACAGAGCATAAGAGAGAGATTAGAATGGAGTTAGAGATTATACATGTAGAAGCCACAGTTGAGAGTCTTCTGTATAAAGTGGTAGTTGAAGCCAAGATTTTGGAGTAGATGACACCATTCAAGAGAAATAGTATGGAAAGAATAGTGGGCCAAAGACAGAGCCTTTAGTAGTACCTACAGCTAGGAGGTAGGAGAAAGAACAGAAGTGAAGCAGAACTCCTCGGTAAACTTGAGAGATTGGAGAGCAGACTGGTGTTCTCCCCGCAGACCTTTCAGAAGGTGAAAAAATAATTGAGTGGTACTTGTCTTCATCTTCTATATACTTAACCATTTTTCCTTCCTTTAAAAAGCAGTCATTATTTGATTTAGAATAGTTTTTAGACTTATGCATAAGTAATTCTGAAACTGAATTGAAAGAAACAGAAACTCAAAGTCTCAGATAAAGATTTCTGATCTAATATAAATATTTTCCAGCAGGTAAAGCATCAGTTGGTAGTATTTAAGATAATAGATTCTAACCCTAGAACTCATTTAAGCAAAGTCTAGATTATACCAATATATTTACACACAAGAGATAGTTTTTCTTTTGTTACTTATTTCTTTAGAGTTAAATACCAAAACTGCAACTCTTTCTTTTATCTATTTGCAGGTTGGATTAGATTTCTCCCCCAGATTTGCCAGGACTGACGAGCACAAGGAGGAGCAGAGACAAGTCCTTATTAGACAGATCCAATTAGCTAAAAGACTAAATTTACCATTGTAGGTTAATTTAAGTTTTTAGCATTCAGCATTTATTAAGCCTCTACTACTACCCTGAAGATTCTGAGCTAGGTTCAGGGGAAATACAGCTAAATAAGACATGGTCCCCCTTTAAGAGACTTACAGTCTGGCAGGAGTGCTAAAATGTATATACAAATAACCTTAATAGAAATTAGAATATGACAGACTTACAAGACGACAAACAAAATGTTTTGAGTTCAGATAAGAGACCACTGCCTATTGTAGTGGGGCTTCAGAGAAGGCTTTGTAGAGGAAATGACGTTTTAGCTGGGCCTCCAAGGATTTCAACAGGTAGAGAAGGAAAAATGGACATTTGAGGTTCAGGGAAGAGCATGATTAAAGAAGGCAAGCAGGGGCAGCTAGGTGGCGCAGTGGATAGAGCACCAGCCCTGAAGTCAGGAGGACCTGAGTTCAAATCCAGCCTCAGACCAAATACCTGACACTAGCTAGCTGTGTGACCATGGGCAAGTTACTTAACCCCAGTTGCCATTGAAAAAAAAAAAAAGGCAAGCAGTCAGGAAAGGCTTGGACATGTGCAGAAGAGAGAGGGTTGCCTGGAGTGAAGAGGACAGTAAGGAGAATAGGGTCATAGATTTGAAGCTGGAAGGAACCTTGAAGATCCAACTCTCTCCTTTTATAGAAGAAGAAATTGAGGCCTAAAGATATTAAGTGATTTGTCCAAGGTCACACAAAGATTAAATGACAGAACCAAGATCTGAAACCACGTGGTCTGACCCCAAGCCAGATGCTCTTTCCACTGTGCTAGAGTCATGTAAAATAAGCCTGGAGAAGTAGAGTAGAAATTAGCAATGAGGGCTTTGAATGGCAGGCTAAGGAGCCAGTGATCAAAGTGATTCTCCTTAGAAAGTTTTTACTTTCCCTCTCTCAAGTATGCCGTGTAATTAGAATAAATAATAATAGTCTGCCTTCTCTAGTTTTTTAGCCATAGGAGAAATGTGATTTTATTTTCTAGGAATGTTCACTCACGTTCAGCAGGCAGACCAACTATTAATCTCCTTCGTAAGGAAGGTAAGTGGGTTTGAGGGCAGCATGTATTTCTCTAAGCAAAGGATACCTTCTAACTATTGGTAGTACAAGCATCACAAAACTAAATGGGGTCATTAGTCTGTTGACCACAAAGTACTGCATGGGGGCAGCTAGGTGGTGCAGTGGATAGAGCACCGGCCCTGAAGTCAGGAGGACCTGAGTTCAAATGCTGCCTCAGACCAAACACTTGACTCTTGCTAGCTGTGTGACCCTGGGCAAGTCACTTAACCCCAATTGGCTTAAAAAAAAAAAAAAACACCAGAATACTGCATGGCCTACTTTCCCCAGAATAAGAATCTGTCTTTAAATATATAATACAATAGCTATCATAGCTCAGCAGTGTTTTGTTTTGTTTAGTTCTTAATAGTATTTTATTTTTTTCCAATTACATGTAAAGAAGGTTTTCATCATTCACTTTTATAAGATTTTGAGTTCCAAACTTTTTTCTCCCTCCCCTCTTCTTTCCCCTCCTCTGTCTCCAAGATAGCAAACAATCTGATGTAGATTATACGTGTAGTCATATTAAACATTTGCACGTTAGTCATGTTGTGAAAGAAGAATCAGAACAAAAGGGAAAAACCAAGAGAAAGAAAAAAAAGGTGAAAATAGTATGCTTTGATCTGCATTCGGACTCCATAGTTCTTTGTCTGGATTTGGATAGCTGTTTCCATCGTGAGTCTTTTGAAGTTGTCTTAGATTGTTGCATTGCTGAGAAGAGCAAAGTCTGTTAAAGTTGATCATCGCACAGTGTGGCTGTTCCTGTGTACAATGTTCCCCTGGTTCTCAGCAATGTGTTTTGAAGCCTCCTGGAACCTTGGAAGCAAGAAATGTATGTCTGAGCAGCTAAACATTAATGAGAAGAAGGTTGATTTGGTTCTATTATATCAATAGAATGTAGTTAGCTTAGCTATTAAGTTTGTAGGTCATTTACTTCTCTTGTTCTCCATCTCCCAACTAATGACTTAGAGCGCTTCTCTTAGAATAAGTATATTTATCCATTTGGTTATATGAAGGCAGCTCCGGAAAAGGTTTGGTAATACAGAAGATTAAAACTACTGAATATAAGACACGGGTAGGCCAAACCACTTTGAGCCACTCTGACTCAGTCTACCAGTCTGAGGATGACTGATTTCCTGGGTTGTGGTTGTGTACCACAGCTTTACTTCTCAAGAGCAGGACAAGGACAAAATGCAGGGGGACAGTAAAGCAAAGTATTCTTCTTGTATCCTTTTTGCATTTGAGTGTACCCACCAAATGGTTGTATGTTAGCAATGAACTGTAGTTAAGTCTTAATAAATAAATAAATAAAGCTAATGAAAAGCATAAACTGATCTCAGTTCCAAAATTCTGTGATTCTGTAGCTCAAAGTCTGTGTTATACTTACGCCATCTCAAAGGATTATCTTGAGGAAAGCATTTTGTAAATCTTAAGGTGCCATATAAATAGGAGGTTTTTTCCTGACTACCATTGTTTTCCAAGGCCAGGAGTATTCAAGAATTGACTATATTACCTATTCTGATAATTGATGGAATACCATACATTGTTTCATTCAAGTTTTAAAGATCAAGAAGTAGCATTCTGTTATCATTGTGGTCGTCATTTACTTAAAACCTCTGATCTCTCTTTTTCAGTTTTATTAATGGAGAAACTTCTTTCAAAGCAATCAGAATGAAATGCGTGTCTGTCTTTGCTTTTTGAGAGGTGCTGAGAAGGTGCTGCTCCATGCCTTTGATGGCCGCCCATCTGTAGCCATGGAAGGAGTGAGTGCAGGATACTTTTTTTCAATTCCTCCTTCTTCAGCAAGGAGTGGACAGGTGAATTCTTTCTCTAAACTTCAGCATGGTGATTATAATCTACCAAACAAGCTTTATTTTACTTTCCTGGTATTGTTAGGTGTTGTGCAAAAGTTAAGCTTAAATTATGTGATATTTGCCTACCAGTGTCTGTGGAGACTAATTTTTAACGATACAGAAAGAAATTAAGAAAAAGGAAGGATTTTCTTATTTTTATTATTTGTAGGGGAGAATTCATATTTTAAGGGAGAAAATCCCATGTCTTTTTTTTGTTCTTCAGCAAAGACTTGACAATGAAATGGTTTTTTCCTTCTTGGTCAAAAATCCCATGAGATGGAAATTCCATTCCTAAAAAAAAGTAGTTAATTTAGCATTTTCAAACAGTGTATCACATGATAATATTTTTCATGCTGTGGTAGCATAATTGGATGCTGAGTAGAAAGAAATCATTCTTGGGGACCATGTAATCCCAATTCTGATGTTGCCAATAGAATTGTAGTTTTCTAAACCACAAAGCCTTTGAATATTATGAAATACAGTAAGTGAGAAAGGAATACTGAGAGATGAAATAGTATTTCAGTGGGAATGTGCTATTTGATGACTTACTAGGTGAGCCCCTTTCATGTTGTTGGCCCCATTATTCCTTTGGGAAATACTTTTTGGTGTCTCCTGCAGGAAGCTGTAGTATATCAGAAAGAGCACTAGATTTGGGGTCAAAAAATCTGGGTTTTAACCCACCCCTGAATAGCAGTATGACCTTAGACGTGTTTCTTCATCTGTAAAGTGTAATACCTGCCCTGCTACTTCACAGAGTTGTCATAAGGATGAAAGGGGGTAACTTATGGAAAGAGCTTTGTATACAGTCAAGTGCTACATAGCAATAACATTAAAATGCATAATAAATATGACATTAGGATTCTGATATTTTCAATACAAACAAGGGATCCATATAGCTTATGTTTACCTTACTCTCTCATATTTTAATACTGAATAGCTTTTGTTTTTCCTCTAAGAAGCAGAAACTAATAAAGCAGCTGCCTTTATCTTCTATATGCTTAGAAACAGATTCACCTGCGCTGGGACCAATAAAACAGGTAAATGACTTCCATTTTAAAGCTCTCAGGGATGTTTGCAATTCTTATGTATTTTTAAATTATAGTTTAAATACAATATTGAGGAGATTGGACCAAAACTTAAATAGTTTCTCTTTGTTATGTTAGGCCTTTTTTTTTTTTTTTTGCTTGTAGTTGTTATACTCTGAGAGTTCTAATATGACCTGGGGTTTTTACTAATTCATGTATTAAAGTGGTAACGAACCAGGTTCTAATGGAATTCTGCTTTCTGTAGTATCTCCCATTTTGTTGTAGAAGCATAAAGAGGCATTGTGTAACAGTATAGAGAGAGCTAGGCTCAGAGTCAGGAAAACCTCAGTTCAGGTTCCACATCTGACACTTTACTGGCGCTGTGACCCTGGACAAGTCACCTAACCTCTGTGTCCCAGGGAACTCAGAGTCTAAGTTGAAGAGCAATTGGTGGTCTGCATTGGTAGAGAGCATTTCTCTGCTGGTATTCTGTGGACTGATAAAATCACAGGATTGGGCCCAAAGAAGCAAGGGAGAGTAGGGAAGAGACCACATCTGTTTTGACTGGTCCCTATAGATTCCAACAGCACATTATTTATTCACATATGGGTTTCGTAAAGTTTCTTTTGGTGATGATGCTGTAAGTACTTGAGAGAATGTTGCTTAGTATTCCTGTTTACATCCCTTAGCTCTGTGACTCTGGGCACTTCAGAGTTCCAAGATATGCTATGTGAGGTGGTGGTGGGGTCATGGGGCTATTTGTGTGGGCTATTTGTGCTACCATGTATTTAATGACCCCACTATCTAGAAGCATCTGTACCGCCCAGCTTTTATGTCAATGGCAAATACCTTGAACAAGCATACGGCTCCCCTTTTTACATCGCACTTGATATTAATAATTAGAAGGCCATAAAACAAAGTTAGCCCTATGAAATCTTTTGAGAAATGTTGTATGATTTTGACATATGCATGGGAGATACCTTGTCAGACAGTAGCCTTCAAGGTGGCCCTTTCCTCTGTTGAACCAAATGCTTTTTCAGTCAGTGCGCAAGCGCATTGGAATCTTGTGTCTTCTGCACCTTTTAGTCAGTTATGGAACTGATAATTAAGTTTTCTTAGAACATCGCTTATGAAAACCTCCCTTCTCATACTTGCATTAAGGATGGTCTACATGCCCATGTAATTTATTCTCATAGAGATTTTATAATAATGAAAAAATAGGCTTATGGGTTAGTAATCATTTTCTCTATCATCTCTTGATGATAAAGAAAAGCTGTAGAAGTATTTATAGATAGTTTCCATTTTTCATCTATTCATTGTCCTAAGTTTCATCCTTAAATGCTCCTGAAATGATATGGCTTATTTAGTTTTATTGACAAGTTTTTTGAATTTCTTGTACATTTGTTTTTCTCTCCATTGCTTTTTATTGTTCTGAGGTAGTACTGCTTGTAATCTTCCAACATCTTCCATTAAGTTTTATAAACAAATTTATTTTCTGATTTGGCTTCTCTATTTACCTGCTTGGCTGGGTCAGCTTTTAGAGTCTCTTAGTCTCCCTGTTGAGATGGATTTTTTTAAATTGGTTAAACTTTAGGAAATGGTAATGATCTGTATTGATGTCCTTTTATCCATTTTTTTGACAGCAATTTAAATAGTTCAAGAAGTTGGGCTAGAATTGCCTTATTTGTATACTATGTCTTCTTATTTGGTATTGATTTTAATCTTTACCAAGTCAGTGATCTGATTGTATGCAAATAGCTGATTCATAAATGACTCACAAATCATAAACAAGTTGTTTCCTGTCTCTTAATATCAGTTGAATTTTTGGTGGGTTTTTTTGGGGGGGTGGGGTTGAAAGAATATTCATCATGTCTAATGACTTCCAGCTCTCTTTTTAAAGAAAGAGTTAATGATATATGTTTGAGGCTTCTGGGTGATCTTCAAGCCTTTGACCTTTCTCACTTCTTAGCCTTGAATCATGTTTTCCAACAAGGTTTTTTTGCTATCCTTTCCTGTACCCAGCTTTGCATTGACGCCACTAGGTATACTTTGATTTAATCTGAAGGGGTCTTAGGTTCTTAATAAAATTTCTCTTCACTCTCTGCTACAGCAGTTGTACAAAAACTGTAATTATCTTCATGGTAGCATTTTTCCTTACACTCATCATGAACACTGTAGTATGAGATGATCAGGTGTCCCGTGAGATGATGTTTCTTGTTGCCTTTTAGCATATGTTAAAAACAACTCTGTTAACTCTTTTTTGTTTGTTTGTTTGTTTTTTTAGGCAATTGGGGTTAAGTGACTTGCTCAGGGTCACACAGCTAGTAAGTGTCAAGTGTTTGGTCTGAGGCCGGATTTGAACTCAGGTCCTCCTAACTCCAGGGCCGATGCTCTATCCACTGTGCCACCTAGCTGCCCCTCTGTTAACTCTTAATAGCCACATCTTCATTTGCCCTTTAATGTCCCCATCACTGCAGAACTGAAAAGGGACTACGTGGGACTTGGGGTCATTGCATTTTTCTTTGTTTCATAAATAGCCACAGCTTCGGGATTCATCACTAAGTGGCCGGGCTCCTGGTGTTGGGCCTCTCTGTACCTAGTTAGGCTGTCACTTGGAAAGCAGACACAGTCTCTTGCTGGGACCCTACTTGAAGCCTGACCAGCATGGTAGAACCTGCCTGATCCTGCATTCTACTAGCATCAAAGTAGGACTTTGTAGAGGCTCAATATTGGAGCTGTTCAGTGTATTTCCACTACATTGTTATCTTCATTGTAGTTTTATTTTTAAGTTATCTAATGGGCTATGAGTACTTACTGATCCCTAATGATTTTTTTCAGGCAAAGCATGAACATGTATGCTTTTGCCAGAGCAGTAGCATCTTTGAAAATAAAGGACAATGACTTGATTTTTGGTTTCAGTGGAAAGCAAGACATCTGTTGCTATCTGAAGTTTTTCTTGTTTGTCTTGTTTCCCTCAGGTACCAGAAATCTGGGACTGTTGGGTGTCATAGCTCATCAGGCCTATCCTTGTTGTATTACAGGAGCGGAATGAACCTAGGAACATTTCCATTTCTGCAGAATTCATTGCCCAGGTGAAAGGGATCTCAGTGGAAGAAGTTAGAGAAGTGACAACTCAGAATGCTTTGAAACTGTTTCCCAAACTCCGGCATCTGCTTCAAAAATAACCTGCCAGATTTCCTCCAGGAAAATCATTTCCTAATATGCCACCAGGTGGCAGCATTGAAGGAAAAGACATCTCTGACCAAAGAAAGAACATGGTCTGGATAGGGGCCACCAGCATAGAGTAATGAGAACTTTAAATTGCTCTCAGTTCAGTTTATGGGAAGTAAGCCTGTCTGGCATTTCTGGAGCCAGGGTTTAGTTCCAGCTCTGCCACTGGCTGTGTGTTGTTTAAAAGTCAATCAAATGCTGAGGGAGGAGGGTGGGAATAGATGCTGCTGCTGCTGCTGCTGCTGCTGCTGCTGCTGCTGCTGCTGCTGCTGCTGC